ACATTTTTTGCAAATAAAAAATAAAGAAAAAGTTACTCAAGTAAATGCAACTAGTTACCACCCAACTCTGCATGTAATATTAGAAGTTTATAGATCTTTGAGAGTAGAGTGGATCCTGGGGGGGAAACAACCTTTCTTACTACTTTTTACTGTTTACTTCAAATTATTATTATTACCAATAAAACGTCCATTTGTGCTTTAAATGCATATCTTTGTGTCTGTGGCCAACTGTCCTAAAATAATTATGCTAAAGGTTTATTTAGCATTACCAAAGTTTAAAGTTTTTTCTGTGCTTTGAGAAAACCAGTTCAGTGTCTAGTAATTTCACTATAAGTGTGCAAACAAAGTAAAATTTTTACAGCAACCCATTCGACACACTATTGACTACCAGTGTCACGGTTTTGGTTATTTTTAGAAACATTTGAGAATACTCTTACCGCTAATGAAGTGATGAGAGCTCGGTCGTTGATTAGCTAGCCACACTCGTCGATGCTTCGAAGCAAAGTTTGCTCACCTTCACAGAGGTTAATGAAAACTTCTCTTTACTGTTTTGTTGCCTTTGTGTTTACATCCTTGAATCCAACAGTATCCAGTCGTCGCGGTTTTCTTCCGTCCGATCAATGCAGTGGAAAGCAACCGTACTGTCAAGATGGCGGCAGAGCACCCGGATGTAGGAGGAGTGACGTTCTTTTTTTTTTAGATTTTAACAGCAGCTTGCATCCATTGCTGTTGCACTACTGCCATCTGTTGGATCCTAATACTTATTCCTCAAATTATCCTAATGAGCCCGGTATTATTTAAAAAACGAAATATCTTCTCTTTTCCTTCAATGCTATTTAAATGAGCAACCACATTCTCAAATTTCAATTCCCAAGCCCATTTCCATATTCAGTAATCTCTTTTGATTCACATATTTCTACAGCTAATAAAAACATGCTCCATCGTTTCTATATTATCACACCAATTACATAAACCAGGAAGATGTTTCCCCATCTTAAAAAGAGTGCCATTCAAAAAACTGTGACCGGTGAGATGGCTGATCAAAGCAGCCAATCAATGAAGTTAAACATTATTCAATGTTATTCTCACAATGACTATCAGTAACCTATGGTTGATTTCTGCCATTCAATGTTATAATAAAATGAAAAATATCTCTAAATATCATGTTTTCATTTCCAAAGTACTCCTGCAAAACAGTCTGACAGGTTGTAAACCCACCATTGTTGTCATTTTCTGTTTCACTGATTGTTTGAAGTGAAGAAATTATAATTACACTTGTCCACTGAAATGCCCAAACCATGAGCTTTTTAGAGAAAGTTTACCTTTTGGGTATAGAAATTAAACAGAAAATGACTAATAATCAACAATAATAAATGTATTGTTAATCAATAAATCACAAATCTACTGGTTTCCACTTAAGTTTGTGAAACATCATCATCACCTCAAAGAAAAAGCACATTTTTTATTATGATAAAATTCGTATTAACAAATCCTCCCTTAAAATATTAATATTTCAAAGATATTTTTTCTCATCTCCTTCGTTCTTGCTAATTTTGAAGTTCTGAACTTTTGGCATTCAGACTTTGTCCAGAAAAAATTACCAATCATCGTTGGTCCTCAACAATAGATTAAATCTGATATCCAATTAGCAGTTCCCCCGCTGACTTGACCAGTTTGACAATCTTTGAGCAGCAGCAGTCTCTGCTCTCTAACAAAAGCATTTTTCTTCTGAGATCCACTTCATTACCCACACTAATATGAAGCAAAATGTTTATTCAAATGAGCTCAGATCAAATCCGGTAAAATGAACGAGAAAAAGGCTAAAATGAATTACGCTTGAGGAGAAAAATACATCGGAAATAATTACAAACTAAAGGAGGATCGTGGATTTTAAAAAAAAGTCATTTTCTCATTATAATACTTTTATTTATTGTCATCAGCCGACTATGCTCAATGTCATCAATGTGTATTCATGGAAGCAGAGCATATTTAAGATTCATCAGGATAAATTTGATATCAGCAGGCATTTTGAGCACCTGCTCGGAAACATATTATACATTTTAAGGTTTGATTTGCCTCTTCTTTTACTGACTTGTAGGGAAAATTATTTTCCATCTAGATGTGAACTTCATTGTGTGATTCTGCCACAAGGAGGTTTAAAAGTAATGCTTCTTTTTAGACCTAAATTGAGACACTTTTCAGGTCTGATGGGGTTTTGCAGGACTGTGGTTGAGCGCAGTCATCTCATGATAAGCCGCATGTGACAGTCTGTCAGGTCGCCTCTCATCAGGAGGTTTTCGGACAAGGAGTCAAATGTACAACAGAAATAAAAACCATGGATTAGACCCCACAAGCACTGTTTATCCCTATCATCTTGTACTTTCCTTTAATTGAAGGTTGAATGCACAGTTCTCCATGAGTCCATCAGCATCCACCCTTGCTTAGAGGATGTGGTGTAGCTGTGATTGCAACTGTGGGGAAAGAAGAAGAAGGGGGAAAAAAAGGAAAATTACAGGGTTCTATCCCGTAACAAGCAGGATGTTGTGACCTCTGCGCAAATACGTCTTTCAGCCTTTACATTTAATGTCGCTGATCCACTACTCTGATTTGATTTACATGAGGTGGGATGTTATTAAAAGGTAGTTCCAAGGCTGCTCTCCTTCAATTTACATGCTTTTCTTTCACAAATAAGATTTTACAAGATTAAATGCAAAAATCCATCAGCGCTTTTTATGGGAATAAAAAGGCGTTCTCATCAGCAGCTTAAAATCAGAGGTCAAATTTAGAATGTTAATTGAAAAAGTGAGTAGCACTAGCCTGAATATATTCAAAAATTCACATTTTGCATATTTTTGTACTTCCATTTAGGTCTAAACTGCTTATAAAAATAGCCTAAAAGCTTGAAAGAAAACAAACACTCAGCCATTTTCTGGCAATAAATGAATGTTTTTGGTGTCTGGAAAATGAGTCGTTTCAAAAACCTCACAACTCTTAAGTCACATTTAGCGGGATTTGTGCCGTTACCTAGCAACCCAAGCAACTGGTTTTATTGCTGCATGTGCTGTACAATGGCTGCTGGAAAAGAAAAGTGTTTTTTTGTTGACTTACCATGCAGAAACCTCTTGATGCATTCTTATTGATTGCGCAGGAGGCTCCACATCTGCTTTTCAAAGACAATCGTGCATTTGTTTGCAGGCGTTTTCACGTGTGAGTTTAAGCGTTGAGTTGTGGGGCCTGGCCAACAAGATCTTATTTGATTTTAAAGTGACAACAGATGAAAATATGCAGAACTAACCAGACTAAAATTGTATTATGTAAGAATGATTTTGAGCAAAAAATATCATAAAAATGTTTTATAAAGCCTTTAGAACTAAGCTAACTTTTTCAAGGAAGCCTACTTGGTTACGTTTAAATAAAAATTACCAATCTTAGATTTTATTTTATTTTATTATTATGAAAATAAAGTCACAATATAACCAGAATAAAGTTGTAGTATTAGGTGAATAAATTAATAATTTTATAATAACTCCTACACCAAAAGTAACAGAAAATTGAGTGATAAATGTTGAACGTCTTGTGAAGTTATACTCTGGTACAAGTTTTACACATGGCACTTAACAATTTGATGCTGATGTGTTAAAAGATCAAGTATTTCTGTTATCAGTAGCAGAACTTTGAAACTATTTGTGTCTGTTTCCAAGAAAGAACCACGCAGAGTGAGGTGTGACATCAAATTTCTCTCATTAAAACAACTTTTTGCTCATAATTTTAAGATATTTTTTCAAGTAAAATTACATCTTTATTCTGACTCCATTGTATTGATGGAAAACAACATTAATTAGCATGAATGACCTCTTTCTTTACACAGACCTTAAATCTGACCGCTTAACAGGCACTTTGACCGTTTTAAGGCAAACTCTTTGCTTTTAACAGCCTGATCAGTGCATAACACTGAGGGCTTTGATGACTTACACAAACATAAATTATGTAAACAAGTGTGAGCACAGGATCTTTAAGAGCCCCGATCAGAGAGTGGGAGTCCTCTGAAGGACACTGAGACGGAGCGTGACAAAACCGTGATTAAACCCAGAGCAAGCGAGACGATCTGCAGCCCGAGCAGCGAAGAAAAGGGAGGACGTGACCATGGAGGTGGGTGACAGAGCGAGACGCCAAAATGAAGAAATGCAGAGATGGAAGGGATAGGAAAATAAAAGAGGCCTGCCAGACCTGGCAGAGGCTGGAGAAAGACGAGGGAACCACTCAGAGCAGATAAACAGGTCACAAATGGCCTTTGTGGAAGTGTGGAGGCAATTCTGAAATGTGTGATAACGCATTGAAACGTGGCTCGCAACAGGTAAATCTTACTCTAACTGTAAAGTTTCATGTCTTGATTTAAAATCCAGCAACAATGAAATATAATTTTTAAATTATGAAAACAAGCTTTGCAACAAGTGTTGAATTATTTGGCTGTGTCCTGTTCTAATTTGGGTAGAGGAAGTGGATTTTAGGTTGCCAGGGTGAGAGAAAATTACTGCAACCACAAAGTAACTGACAATCAGCCCTGAACGTCTATCAGCGGGAGCCATTTTGTATGTTCCCAAATTCATCAAACCGCTCCAGGTAAACATTCGCCCTTGGACTGAAAGAAACAAGTTCAGAAATTTGTCTTGTTCAGACAGTTGCTGCAGTAAATGTTCTTTTTCTCTCTATAAATATATATGAAAAAAAAAAAAAAACAGAAAGCAAAACTGCAAATGTGTTGCTTCTCCTTGCAAAACCAAGTGCCCACTTTGTCCTCATTTTGTAACAATTCAGCCTAATAAAGCTGGAGGCTGGGAACAAGGGAGTCTGATCTTCCAGTCGTCTAATCCTCGAGGGACACAGGAGGTAAAATCACCGTCAGTGACATCAGTTTGCAGCAGTTGTGGATCTCAGATAAGGAGACATCATACATGGCATTCCCATCCCTATCAATGTCACCTCACGCCCTCTGAGGTTCAGTCACTTGAATTTATTATAAATCCTAAACTGCTGCAGAAATAGACGATAATCTGAATCACGTAATGAGTAAAATGTGTTTTTACCTAACATGATTTAACTGCTGTTGTGATTTAGAGCTTCCGTAGCCATGACCTTGATGTTTGTCTTTGGTTAGAAGTCCGACAGCACCACCTGCTGGTCACGAACCAACAAGCAAGTCATTATGAAAGCCCCAGTAACTTCAATAAATGGGAAAAACAATAAAATATCCCCTTTTTTCTTGTGAGTACAAGATACTACAAGCATGTAATATCTTATACTCACAAGATATTACATACATTTAGTCTGGTGTTTCAGGAATGACAAAGAATAAACTAATGCTCATTTAAAGCCAACAGCAATGGGAACAGCTATTAAATAAAGAGTAAACAACTCTTGCATGATGTTTTTTAGAAGCTGACAGTTAAATCAAAACAACAAATCATCCACTTGGGATACAACTTGTGCTGTTGTGTTTTAAGTACAACACAAAAGCACAAGTCTGCCTGGGAAACTAATAGGATCTGTGCAGTTTGCAGAAGGATTTGATTAAGTAGGAAGACACCAAAACAAATTAGTGGTTTATGTAAAAAAAAAAACACAAAAAAAAATACACACATCCATATCAGTCCATACAGACAATGAAATCAAAACACAGAAGCAAAAAATAAGTCATGATTTTAAAAAATGTAGCTGTTTTGAAATGAGCAATAATCAATCAAATCAGTCCATTCATCCATCTTCAAAACCCATTTGATCCTGATTAAGAATTGCAAACCCATCACAGAACAAAGAAATACTGATACCTAAAAGCACAATTAGAGTTTCCAGTACTGCTAAAAGGCACATCTTTGGGTTCTGAGAAGAAGCTGACGACCCAACAAGCAACAAGTAAACTCCACTCAGAAAGACTCTGAACTTCCCTCTTATTATTTAAAACTATTGTAATCTCTAAGCTGGCGTGGAGCAGTTCCTCCCTCCCCACCCAGGATAACACCTGCAGTGGAAGTCAGACTTCATCTGCAGCACACTTTGTGCATCCATCTGCCCTAAAACCCTGTAGTTGGTCCCTCCTGCCGGGTTCTTTTCAGACAGGATCTTCCAGGCTGCGGGGTCGAGGTGGAGGTAGGCGCCCGACTTCAGGTCCGACCTCTGACACCGTCCCTGAGAGGAGCACAAAGTCTGGCTGCAGAGCGTGGCAGCTGAGGTCACGTTGACCACGTAGGGACCTAAAGTCTCATCGATGTAGGACTTGACTGCTTCACATGTAGCCTGGACAAACACAGCAAATAGCACAGAATAAACAACTCTGTAGATCTGCTCTTCGTTGTTCCTATAGTGTTTGTTTTAGAGTAAATAAAGTCATATTGCACATCTGAGGTCTAAAATGTTTTTGATTCTTTTAGTTTTTATTTAATCTACACATATAATATGTTTTCTATGTATTATTTGTTGTCTACTGATGCTACTTTGCAAAGGCTTCAACTTTTTCTCATCTTATAATATTACAATCTAAAGTTAAAGTGTATTTTAAAGGGTTTTGTGAAATAGACCAACATAAAAGAGTGGATGATGGGGAAGTGGAAGCAAAATGATGTATGGTTTTAAACTAAATATTTAGAAAACAAAACATTTAGCTCCAAATTAAATATTTTGGTGTCAAGCTAAATATTTAATGGGCCAACTAAATATTTTGCTTCAAACTAAATATATAGGTTAGGAACATAACATTTAGTGCCAAACTAAATATTTAGTTATTAAGCTAAATATTTAGCTTTGTGCTAAATAGATAGGTGAATATTTAGTAAATATCTTTACTTCCAAAACAACCTTGAGGTTGTCACTTGATTTACACTGAGATTATAATACACACAGGAGGACTCGAATAAGACAACTTCTGAAACCAATTGTTTTCACTATATTTCACTTGGGAATAGCAGAGTAAAGGGGCTGAATACAAATCCAACCCTCAAATTTAGATTTTTAATTTAAATTTTAAAAAAGCAGTGACTAATTGTTCTTCCAAATCACATATATACATAAAAGTAACAGAACATGAAACACTTTCAGGAGGAGTGAATACTTTTGCATGTCACCATAAACTGCAAATTTTACAAATTCGTCCCATAAGATCTTCAGTCTTTCGGAAGGAGTTTGACTGCAGTAGAAGCCAATAGGTGCCTGAGATGCTAAAAGTCATCAAACAGTGGTACTACCACTTGGGAGTATAGAGAAATGATTTGTAACAAGTATCACTTTCACAACAGCTTTCCTAATAAGTATTTTAACAGATATCTGCAGGATTATATCAGTGTTATGCAGAGGGAAAACAGCCATTGCATGTTTCATACCTTAGATTTATCAAATGCATGGTTCCCCCACAGCACGACCCCAGCAGATCCTAAAGCAGCGCTCTCTCCTAAAGTGTAGACCAGATGCTCCTGTGTTGTGAAAACAGAATATTATTTACATCGGACCATGCTGAAGAAGATGGTATTAACCTGCCACTCACTTTGGAGAGGAACTCTAATGTGTAGGTGTAGACGATGCGGGCGTAGGGGAAGACGGGCAGCTGCCACGGGGTCACCTGGTCCGCCACCCTCATGGCCTCCAGGATGCGGTGATGAGCGTAGAGCAGCACCTCTTTGCCGAGGCCTCGCAAGTCCAGGCTCAGGTAGATGTCAGGGTACAGCGCGGAGGAGGCGTTCCACAGCCAGAACAGCTCATCGTTCCTCGTCAGCTCCACATCTGGACACTTACCTGTGTAGTTTACGCTCCTGTCGTTGTAATAGTTGTAGCAATTCGGAAATCCATAAAACCCCCACAAGCCACTTGGCCTCATTTTCTGCCCCAGTTTCTGTGTTTCCTCCATGAATTTCCTCCCAGATTGCTCAAAATCCACCCGAGCCGCTGCCTCCACCTGAGCAGGATTCCAGTCTGGATGCCTGGCCCTCACCAGGGCTTTTGACCCCTCCTTGTACACTTGTTTACTGTCCCAGTTTCTCTCCCACACCGGCCGCCAGCTCTCCCAATCCACCACCGCCAGGCCCTGGAAGTCTCTGTCAGGGATGTAGTAGCGGATATCTTCGCTGGCGAGTCGGAGGTGTCCATCTAGGCTGCTGTTCTGAGGAACCCCGCCGTTGATGGCCTCTCCCTGGGCTGAGTACCGCGGGTACAGACCCAGCTTGTCAGCATAGAAAATGGTGACGTTTTCACCTATGAAGGTTTCATTTTGGTTCTGGACGATGCTAAACATCCCCAGGTCAAGATCCACGGCGTACTGGGAGAGGCAGTTCTCTGTGGGGGCGTTCCACACAGTGAGAAACGGCGCCTGGCTGAAAGGCGAGGCAACAGGCAGCCCTGAAGTTAGTCTGAGCAGACCAAAGAGGACCAACACCTCACAGAACCTCATGGCTGAAAAGAGGAACAAAGAGCTGTCACTAAAACGTGTTATGAAATTTCAGATAGTTGCAAAACAGTGTTCTGTTTTTGTGACGGTAACTCGAAATGTCAGTCATTTCAGTAATTTATGCAACTTTCTTTTTGCCTTTAAGGAATAAAATCATCAAATGCAAAATGCTAAATTGTGTAAGAATGTAAAAAGTGTCAGAATGGTTCAAAGTCCAGACCTACAACATGTTGTGGATGTGCAATAAGACTTGTTGATTTCCGTAGAAACAATTCGCAGAGAAACTGGTAATAATTTCATAGACATGTTGAGTGCTATTGTTTACATCCGGAAATATCGCGCATGCGCACAATGCTTGGGGGCAAAAAGATGATTCTTCAACTTGTCATAACCACTGCTCTTCGGCCATTGAGCAATTATGTTAACAAATTGAAACCTGGAGATGTAAGTATTATTAATTTAGTGCAACGCGCCACAGTAAAGGTAAAACATCGCAGAGAAACCGGTGAAGAGCAAGTCAAAGCCGCTCCTTTTCTTCTTTTGTATAGCTGACCAACAGCTCGGCTAGCTGACAGAGACTCAACACCAGAAAACACGTAAACATTTCTCTACGGACAAAATCTTTAAGTCTCTTTCGAGTTTTACTGTTTTCATGCTAAAATTGTGAAAGTCAAGCTAACAAAACTGGCCTCTCCTGTAACATACCTCCCTCTCCTTCGCTATTTTTATGTATTTATTTTTATTAAAACCTTTTACTGACCTGTAATCTTTTCTTCTAGTTGTCATAGTATTGACAATTAGTAGCAAAACACCGCGTCCCTTTTTCTTTTATATATATATATATATATACATTTAAGATTTAGCGCATTATGTTGACAGCTAAAACCAACGGTCGTCATCTTTGGAGAGGAGTTTTTTCCCTCCAATAGGAAGCTGGGGGCGGGGTCTTGCGCGAATGACGTTACGTTTCAACCTGTCAACTAAAAAGATGCTAAGCCAGTGGTTTCCAAACATTTTCTGCGCCCCCCAATGGATTACAAATGGCTGTCTGGTTGAAAGGGGGGGGCATCAACTTTTTTGGGGGCAAAATGAATGTACGTAGCT